CTGAGGGAACAGGGTCAGGGGGGCTGAGGGCAGTGGATTGAGGTTGGGGGGTCACGGGGGGACTGCGGGGGAGGCTGAGGGAACAGGGTCAGGGTGGGGCCTGAGGGCAGTGGGTCTGAGGGGAGCCCCCCCAGAGGGACCTGCCAGGGGGCCAGGTAAGCCCAGCAGTGCTTACCTGGAGCGGCTCCCAGGAAGCATCCAGCAGGCAGGTCCCTCCCAGTCCCTCTGGCCCCTTCCTAGGGTCGAGGGGAGGGGGGCAGGGGCGAGGGGGGGCTCTCTGCCCGGTGGCCGCTGCCTGCTGCCGCAGTCTACAGGCCCCGCCCCGCTGCAGCTGCCTCTCTGTGTGCCGGGGCAGGGGCAGGGCTGCGCTCTGCAGGCTCCTCCAGCCGGGCGGGGGGCCCCGTGGGCTGGCGCCGCCGCGCCGGGAGCTCAGCTGCGCGCTGCCCCAGGGCCCAGGGAGGGAAGGTGAGTGGTGCCGGTGGCGCCAGCTTGCTGCGGTCTCCGTCATATAGGGTGACCAGACGTCCCGACCAATGTAAGGTCGGGACGCGGGACAAGTCCCCTAAAATCGGGACTGTCCCAATAATATCGGGACGTCTGGTCACCCTAAATTGATCAGATCCTCTGTTCCAAAGTTATCGCATACAGGCCAACAGAAATGCCATTGAGTTGTGCTGGGCCTCACTTTGCTTGGTCAGTTGGCATACGTATCTGGTTAGGAGGACACTTATGTTAAGATACTTCATTGTTGAATCTTTGGGAGGAAATTCTCTTTGAGATAATTTGCTTACTGTTAGAAATACTAATGAAAGCCCTTGCAATGGAAAGCACAGAAAAAACATCTCCTTCCAGAAAGCTCTCTCCACCCTCCCTCAGAGTATGTGTAACATGCTACAGCCTATTAGAGGAAGAGTTCACTATTGCATTGTGTCTTATCCTGCTTAAGCTCTTAAACTGGGTGATTAAAATCAAACAATTTGTTTTGTTTTGTTTTTGGCATCAGGTGGCTTTATCTTGCTGGATGGAGAGACTTTTGAGGTGAAAGGGAACTGGGAGAAAGGATCCAACGTCCCTGCACTTGGCTATGACTTCTGGTACCAGCCACGGCATAATGTCCTGATGAGCACGGAATTGGGAATCCCAAAAGTCTTGGCAAATGGGTTAGACCCAGCAGACCTAAAGACTGGTGAGGGCGTGTTTGTTTAAAATTCGGTGACATTCTGGTCCAGCTTTCAATAAAGCGAGGACTGCATCCAGGGACTCTCCTGTCACCAGTGGAGGCTGGTGATTTCAGAGTACATAGGCAAAATTGTCATGTAAAGATGTCTGCAGAGCTAGTTTACACCAGTTGTTAAAGATCACAATGTATATAACCCCAAACAAGGCAGGACAAACCTACTCTTAGTGTTCTTTAATAGTTCTAGCTGGTGACATCAGAAGTTCAGCAAAACCTTGGGCACATATGAACTAGACTGGCCACAAGGGCTCCTATGGAGCTGTACTCAGTGTCAGAATTCAGCTGTGAGGAGGGAGGGGCATCTCCGTTTAGTCTGACCTCCCCTCAAAAGGTCATCTTGTTCTTCTCTATCACCTCCACGGGAGACAGTCACATACCCAAAATGTTGGAGGCCACTCATACTGCTTTTGAAAAGACCCATATGTAGCTAACCTGGGGTGTTCAGCTCTGAAGGATCAATGGATTGAGACCCTCTGTCCTCCGGTCTCCCATTGAACTCAGTCTTTCTCTGTTTTCTACTGCACACGGGCCAAGGTGTTGTAGTGACAAGAATCCCACAATCTGATGCCTGACCCCTCACCTGTGACGATTTTTAAATGGGTGAAGATGTTTGGCATGATTATATAGTTAAGAGCAAAGGTCCATTTGCTGTGCTATTAAAACCCTTGAAACCTTTCATAAAATCGTAGGACTGGAAGGGACCTCGAGAGGTCTTCTAGTCCAGTCCCCTGCACTCAAGGCAGGACTAAGTATTATCTAGACCATCCTTGACAGGTGTTTGTCTAACCTGCTCTTAAAAATCCCAGTGATGGAGATTACACAGCCTCCGTAGGCAATTTATTCCAGTGCTTAACCACCCTGACAAGAAGTTTTTCCTAATGTCCAACCTAAACCGCCCTTGCTGCAATTTAAGCCCATTGCTTCTTGTCCTGTCCTCAGAGGTTAACAAGAACAATTTGTCTCCCTCCTCACTGTAACAACCTTTTATGTACTTGAAAACTGCTATCATGTCCCCCCTCAGTCTTCTCTTCTCCAGACTAAACAAACCCAATTTTTTCTCACAGATCATGCTTTCTAGACCTTTAATTATTTTTGTTGCTTTTCTCTGAACTTTGTCCACATCTTTCCTGAAATGTGGCGCCCAGAAATGGACACAGTAATCCAGTTGAAACTTTATCAGCGCAGAGTAGAGCGGAAGAATTACTTTTATCGTGTTTTGCTTACAACAGTCCTGCTAATACATCCCAGAATGATGTTTGCTTTTTTTGCAACAGTGTTACACTGTTGACTCATACAATATTAAGTTTGTGATCCACTATGATCCCCAGATCCCTTTCCACAGTCCTTCTTCCTAGGCAGTCATTTCCCATTTTGTATGTGTGCAATTGATTGTTCCTCCCTAAGTGGAGTACTTTGCATTTGTCCTTATTGAATTTCATTATATTTACTTCAGACCATTTCTCCAGTTTGTCCAGATCATTTTGAATTTTAATCCTATCCTCCAAAGCATTTGCAACCCCTCCCAGCTTTGTATCATCCACAAACTTTATAAGTGTACTCTCTATGCCATTATCTAAATCATTGATGAAGATATTGAACAGAACTGGACCCAGAACCCATCTCTTCAGGACCCCACTTGATATCCCTTCCAGCTTGACTGTGAACCACAGATAACTACTCTGTGGGAACGGTTTTCCAACCAGTTATGCACCCACCTTATAGTAGCTTCATCTAAGTTGTATTTTCCCTAGTTTGTTTATGAGACAGTCATGCAAGACCGTATCAAAAGCCTTACTAAAGTCAAGATATAGCACATCTACCACTTCCCCCCTATTCACAAGACTTGTTACCCTATCACAGAAAGCTTTTAAGTTGGCTTGACATGATTTGTTCTTGACAAATCCATGCTGACTGTTACTTATCACCTTATTATCTTCTAGGTATTTGCAAATTGATTGCTTAATTATTTGCTCCATTATCTTTCGGGTACTGAAGTTAAGCTGACTGGTCTGTAATCCCCTGGGTTGTCCTTATTCCCTTTTTATAGATGGGCACTGTATTTGCCCTTTTCCAGTCCTCAGAAATCTCTTCCGTCTTCCATGACTTTTCGAAGATAATCGCTAATGCCTCATTTATCTCCTCAGTCAGCTCCTTGAGTACCCTAGGATGTATTTCATCAGGCCCTGGTGACTTGAAGACATCTAATTTGTCTAAGTAATTTTTAATTTGTTCTTTCTCTATTTTACCTTCTGATGTTACCTCATTTTCACTAGCATTCAGTATGTTAGATGTCCAGTCACCACTAAACTTTTTGGTAAAACCTGAAGCAAAAAAGTCATTTAGCACTTCTGCCATTTCCACATTTTCTGTTATTGTTTTTTCCCCCCTCATTGAGTAATGGGCCTGTCCTGTCCTGGGTCTTCCTCTTGCTTCTAATGTATCAATCTAGTATAGGCTGCAGCTGCAATAACTCTCCTTGCCAGAGGCATTTAATTGTTTAGCTGTCTGTCTGCACTCTTGGAATTGGTTGTTCTCCAATTCTAAAATCAACTCTCCTGACTTTATTTTTGTTTGACTTGATCTCTCAGGGAGCTATGGCCGTCACATTAACGTGTGGGACTGGACCACTCATGTCTTCACTCAATCAATTGACCTGGGGGAAGACTCCATCCCTCTGGAAATCAGATTCCTCCACAACCCCGATGCAGCAGAGGGATATGTTGGCTGTGCTCTGAGTAGTGCAATCCATCGCTTCTACAAGACGGGGGTAAGCACTGTAACAGCTGCCATGTGACAGAAGGCAAGGTTAAACATGAGCATGTTTTAGAAAGCCACTTAGACAATGGGTCACTTAGACAATGGAATTCAGTTAGGATAGATTTGGGCAGCATCTGTTTTTTGTGTTGCATCCAAGTTGACCGAGCTGTATGGCTCTATGAAACAGCACACCTCCCAGAAAGGCCCTGGATAGGAGCCAAATCTTTGCTCTAGAAGGCCCAGGAAAATACTACTTGTTCCCAAAGGAAATCAATAGGCCAATGTCAACTTATATTGGGAGCTCCCACAAGCTCCTAATGTTCTCTGTCTTTGGCTGAGTTTCACTTGCATTGTAGAAATTCTCAGTGTGCACTGAGTCCTGCCAGTGCCTTTACAAGCCAGTGGGCATTTGGAAACTAAAAGATAGTTAATAAATCCAAAACTTGCTATATTGGGAACCCAAAAAGAGCCAATATCCCCATGTGAAATAATGTGCCCTCAACCACTAGCCACTTTAAAATGAACTCTTTGGCTCTTGAGAACTGGGTGGCTTGGAGGAGTCTTGCCAAACAACCTGTTCTTACAATATTGTTCTTATTCGTGGACAATTTGAGGTGACAAGTTGGGTGAGGTAATATCTTGTATTGGAACAACTTCTGTTGGTGGAAGAGACAAGCTTTCAAGCTTACCCAGAATTCTTCTTCAGGTCTGGGAAAAGTACTGGGTCACAGCTAAATACAAAGTGGAGTTCATATAAGGGACATTCGTTTTACGTCTTAAGATGGATCTAGAGAACAGCTTAAATAGAATTAAACTGGTTTTCCTATATGCGTGTATAATTATCTAGACTCTTTGTAGTGAACTAACTGCCCAGTGGCTACTATATTTTCCCTACTATGTTCTTTATGGCCTGTGCTAAAGGCTTCTGCAAGGTGGCTATGTTGGGGAGATCTAGCCCCAGTTCCATAGACGGCACAAAGCCTCCTAACCCATCATGTATATATCCCCCTGTCCCTGGCCTATACCTAACAGTTAGGTTGACTTAGCTACATCGTATAGGATGTGAAACATTCATACCTCTGAGAGACTTAGTTTTAAGTTGACCTAAGCCCTGGTGTAGACACGGCTAGGTCAACTGATTCTTCCATCAACCTAGCTACTGCCTTTCAGAGGGGTGAATTGATTAACTACAGTGTCTACACTGCAGCAGCACAGTTGCAGTGCTGTAGCTGTACCACCGTAGCATCTGTAGTGTAGACATAACTCCATGGCTGTGCTCCAAAACCTAGGCTATTGTTGAGGTCCAATGAACAATGCTTCTATTTTTAGTATTGACAGATCTATAATCATTAACTCTGTGTTTCTAGCTAATCACCTATTTACTATTCACATCAATTGTTAACATTTATTTGCAGTACCTTTGTATATGCTAGGTACACACCGTCACATGCTTATTCTGCCTCTGTCATGTATAATTGGGTTCTTGCTGACTTACCGCAAGGGAATATTATGTTTACTCTTGTACAGAATGGAAATTGGGCAGCAGAGAAGGTGGTTCAAGTCCCCAGCAAGAAGGTGAACGGTTGGCTTTTTCCTGAAATGCCAGGTTAGTGTAAGCATGTTTCAAAATTTTCCTCCTCATGCTTTGCAGCTGGGCTGAGCATCTTATCATTGAATGACAAACACTTTTTGCATGAAACATATGGAGGAGCTTATCAGTTATACCAGGACTTTGGCATACCTTCAAAGAGATGCAAGTGTCCCTCCAAAGAGGGAATGGCTTAGAATTGCCAATTGCATACCTATTTGTATTAAGATCCCCCAATGTGTGTTATGAGTGGGAATCTGGCTCATCTTGACTGACGCTCTAAGGAGGTGGCCAGTGTCTCTTCCTATGGAAGATTCTTTTGCAGTGCCCTTTGGATACCATCCATAGGCACCGACTCTATTGGTGCTCTGGGGCTGGAGCACCCACCGGCAGCCCCCCTATCAGAACCCCCCCAGTGCCTCCCGCCCACTGGCTGGCCCCCCAGATCAGCGCCTCCCCCTCCCTCCCCATGCCTCCCACGTACCGCAATCAGCCCTTTCACAGCATGCTGGAGGCTGTGGGAGGTAGAGGGAGGAGCGAGGACACAGCACGCCCGGGGGAGGGGGCGGGAAGGGGTGGGAAGAGGCAGGGCTGGGGTGGGATCTTGGGGGAAGAGGTGGAGTGGGGGCAGGACCTGAGGCAGAGCCGGGGGTCGAGCACCCCCTGGCACTTTGGAAAGTCAGCGCCTGTGACACCATGTATCTGCCTCTTGTCATCACCCTTACACAACAGTTATCACAACCTCAAGTAGCTGGTTCTCCTAGAGCAGATTTATGGGCTGGTGAATACTAGCTGGTCCCGGTATTTGGGAGACCCCTTTCTGTATCCAAAGGGACTTGAGGGCCTCTCAATTGAGATCCCAATCATTGGTTGGTCAGGGGAGAGCCCATTTTCCAGTTGGACCCTTTCCTTTAAATCCATGCCTCCGATTCCCCCACCTTTCCAATTTAATGACCATGACATCACCTCTTGCAGTTTTCTCCCCCTGCCCCGCCTCCAACAGTGGAAATTGTGGTTGTAAAGGAGCAGCTGGGAGCAGTACGCTGCCGGCATGTCTCCCCAGCCCATGAAGGACTCACTGCCACATTGAGTCTTTTCCAAGCACATTTTTATTCTCCTTACATAAAACTTAAACAAAACCGTTCCTCAGCCCATCCTGGGCTACAGCTCCCAGGGGTTTCCCCCCTTTTTCTCTCTGTCCCTCCTGCTTCAGGACCTACTACTGGAGGCCATGTCCTCTTGTCCTTCTTCAGCCCTCCTCCAGGCCATTTGTCTGGAAGTTACCTTTCTCCAGCACCTTCCAGAGCAGCCAAGAACCCTTCTGCAGCTTCTCTCACTAGCAGAGCTCTCACCCTTTGTAGGCAACCCAGGACACCCTCCCAGCTGGGCACAATAATTAAACAGCCACATGATCTCTAGCTGACCAGGATCAGATGGAAAGGGAGCCAATCAGTCACAGATGAGGCTGGGCCTGACTCTCTTGCCCGTGACAAACTGGTTGCATCATTTTTGTCTTGGCCTGAAGGTTTGATTCAGAGTAGCACTTAAACATGCTGATCCTGGAACAGGTTGGGTTTGGATTCTCCAACATAGTACCTCTGGTCTGGGCCCATATGTAGTGTGCTATATTCTGTCACCAACTGCTAATTGGGAACATTCTAGGTTGAAGAGTGGCTTCTGCTCAGCCCTGCTTGTGAACTACCATGCAGGCGACAGGGTTTGGCTCCTCCTCCCAGGTTTGCTGCTTGAAGCTTGACAGACAGGGCGAAAGACCTCTCTGGCTTTAAGATTAAGCTTGATAAGTTTATGGAGGGGATGGTTTGATGGGATAACGTGATTCTAGTCAAAAGGTCAATAACGTGCCATCGCTGGTAATTAGTAACAATGGTCAATGATGGGATATTAAAAGTTACCACAGAGAACTTTTTCCGGAGGGTCTGGCTGGAGAATCTTGCCCGCATGCTCGGGGTTCAGCTGATCGCCATATTTGGGGTCAGGAAGGAATTTTCCTCCAGGGTAGATTGGCAGAGGCCCTGGAGGTTTTTCGCCTTCCTCCGCAGCATGGGGCAGGGGTCGCTTGCTGGAGGATTCTCTGCGACTTGAAGTCTTTAAATCACGATTTGGGGACTTCAACAGCTGAGTCAAGGGAGAGAATTATTCCAGGAGTGGGTGGAATAATTTTTGTGGCCTGCATCATGCGGGAGCTCAGACTAGATGATCATAATGGTCCCTTCTGACCTTAAAGTCTATGAGTCTATGAGACAGTGGTCTCTAGAAAGAATGTGGGAGTTCCTGTGTCTTTCAACAGGAACTCACAATAGTTGTGTTCTCCAGGGAGTGGGTTGATCTTGGCTGGAATCCTGGTAATTAATGAGGGCCAAAAAGAGACCTGGAGAGGAAACAGAGTGAATACAATGATATGGCTGAGACCACCTTTTGCTTTGGGCCTGGGTTTCATATCTGAACTAGATTAGTCTGATCTGGGTCTGCGCTGACGCTCTAGGACTGGGGTTCTAACAAAGACGGATCTATGGCCATATGAGCCTTGTCATTGTCTGCTGCTCTGTGTGTGTTTCCTGACTCCACCTCTAACTGCCCTCTCCAAGGTCTCATTACCGACATCCTGATCTCACTGGATGACAAGTTCCTGTATTTCAGCAACTGGTTCCATGGAGACATTCGTCAGTATGATATTTCCAACACTCGGAAGCCCAGACTGGTGGGACAGGTAAGTCAGAGTCATAAAGGCTTCTATTACTAGGTTGCGAAGCTGGGGAATCCCATGTCTTTAGGAGAGAAAAGGATAGTTTTCTTTTGCATAGGGGTTAGATGGTCAATTCCGTACCCTCATGGCCATGTTCCTTTCATACACGGACACCCTGACATCTTTGTGACATCTTTGCTTACAGGTGTTCCTGGGAGGCAAGATTCCAAGAGATGGGCCAATCGTTGTGGTGGAAGACCAAGAGCTGAACTGTCAGCCAGAGCCTTTTGTGATCAAGGTGAGCAATGCTGGCTATTTTCCCCACTGCTCCATTAATACTTCTCTACTGGCAGCTGTCTCTTGGTGCATGCCAGCTCCTATATGAGTGCCAGCTCCTATATGAGTGCCAGCTTCTGCACATCTTACTGAGGCAAAGCTCCCATCCAAGTACAATAGGACTTGCCTGAGTAGATGCTGTGGAATCAGGCCCTTTCTGGCATAACCCAATGTGTGTATGCACAGGTTAGCCAGGAACCTGCATCAGGCAAGCAGTCAGTCTTGGTTAGAACTGCTCCTTGCCTAAATGCAGGGGTTCACCACCCCATGCATTCAGGAATGCTGGTGGTCAGATGTTCTGCCAGGAACAGAACCTGCCATGCTGCTGTACTCCCTCCTGTTGCATTTTTCTTTCCTTGTGATGCCACTAGCAGCTTATAAACCCAGGTCTTGTTTTCCTGTAACACCAGGGGAAGAGGGTGCAAGGTGGACCGCAGATGATCCAGCTGAGCTTGGATGGCAAGAGACTATATGTCTCCACTTCCCTCTACAGTGGATGGGACAAGCAATTTTACCCAGACCTTGTCAAGTAAGAAAACTTTCTTGGATGGGAAATCCCAGGGCCAGCCACAGGCAGCTGTGCCTGCAGCAGAAGTCCATTTTCATGAGCCCCGCAGCGGAAGTGGGTGGTGATTGCACCACCTCCAAGGGCCCATTGATGTGTGCAGGAGGACTGGCTTTATTAGCTCATTGCTTACTACTAACCCATATCAGGGTTTCACACACCAGTAAGAATCAGGCCACACTTAATAGGCACAACAGCCTCTGAGCATCTGTGAAATTTAACAATGTCTGATATTGAAATCATTCCTCTAATGGTGGGGGTGTGGAAGAATTCATTAGATACTAGTATTTTGAAGATGATCTAGCCTACAGGAAACCTGTATTACTTCAAAGCACCCGCAAATACATTATTTTTATTACATAAAGCAGATGATTTTCTGCATGACCACATGAGGGCGTGGTGCGGCTTGCCTATCACTTGCAGTTAATGTATAACTGCACATCTAGTTGTAGTCCCCTCTGGTTCATTGGCAGCTCAATCAAGGTTTTCAATGGAGCAGTGTAACTCTCCGTAGGATGCTTCTGAGTGTGACCCCCAGGCCTCTGTTGGGCGGTTCAGTGTAGTGCAGTGAACCTGCACTATAATGAACCTGAAGCCTTTGCCTGTCACAGTGGGCACTACAGTCTGAGTCCCAGACCAAAACAAATTTTTTGTTCCAAACACCTCTGAATACTGGTGTGCCCAAACATTGAAGCTGGGGGCTCATCTCCAAAAGGTCTTTTAGACAGAGTGGTTAACTAGAAAATCTGGAAGAGAAGAACAAAGTGTAGGAATCTCTTAAACCAAGACACAGCCTCATTTTTCCCCCTCCCCCCAACGTCTGCTTTCTTGTTTCTTGTTCAGGGAAGGCTCTGTCATGCTGCAGATTGATGTGGACACTGTGAAAGGTGGACTGAAGGTGAATAAAAACTTCCTAGTGGATTTTGGGTCAGAACCTCATGGACCCGTCCTTGCTCATGAGATCCGCTACCCTGGTGGAGACTGCAGCTCTGATATCTGGATCTAACTGTTGTGTGTGGCTGCCTCGCGCGCTCTCTCTCTCTCTCTCTCTCATATATCTTAACTATACGTATGAAAAAGGCATAGGTGGGTCTGATCTGCTGGGGCTCTATCCACTACAGATGTCTAGATTTCCATGGGTGCTGAGCCACAGAAGCCCTGCACCTGCTTGCACACTCCTGGCTGAGGCAGCCAAGTGAGTGTGTTTAGCCATGAAACATGATGTCTCGCTTACTTCTCTACCCTCTGCTATTCTGGACGGCCTGTCTATTCACTGATGGCCGTAAACTTCAAAGTGTATAACTCCCTGTGTTGTGGCAGTCCTGATGAGAGGGATTCTGGCAGCTGCCTTCATGCCAATGTCTCCGAAACGATGCTACAGACCTTAACATCTGCTAGACTTCCTAAGTTGGCAGAGTTAATGGAGAGGGCAGAGCTACAATTTTGAGCACATACAATTAGGTTTAGAATTAAATTCTTCTTCACCCCAGTCTCTGGGTCTCACAATAAGGAATCTGTGATCTGTGTGCCCAAAGCTGTAGCCAAGACTAAATACAACAAGTCTCTGAGCCCCCACAAGGGTCCAACAGCTCTTTGAGATGACTAGAGTTACCCATTTTAATCCCATACAAGAGATGGGATTAAACACTTTTTTTCTCTTTTCTGTAAACTTTAATCATTCAAGCTTTAGGGCCTGTCTGTGCTCAAACATTAAATGGATTAAGGTAGGGTGCAAATTTAAAGCCTAATCACTGAATAACTGCATGTAGGGACATCCTTATTCCGGAACAGAGAACTTGTTTCTGTTTAGCTTAATACACTTAAGTCAATGCCCTATTGCACAGTACTATGTAAACAGGATTTGACTGTAGTCTGCAAACTGGTGTCTGTTTCCTGGAGCTGGATTGTATTTCAGTTCTTGTGCAGTAATGCAGCACTTAAACTGCTTTAACAAACAAATAATAAAATTGTTCTTTGCACCAGCTAAATCTTCATGTCATAATTTTTAACTCTTCCGCATCTTTCAGGGAGCAGAAAAATGTAAGATGGTGATTCGTGAATCATGTGTCTGAAAATTAAGAAGACCTGTGTGCCTGAAATCTCTTACGGGGGAGACTTTCCAAAATCACTTAAAAAAAAAAAAATCCGGAAACTAGCTGGTACAAGGTCTTCCTGTTCCCAAAAAAACAAAGTATATTTGTGGTACTGCAGTCGAAGTCACTGAAACATAGCATTTGTCTAGGAACTATATTCTCAGTTCCTGATCAGTAAAATGAGGATAATGGCACTTTGCCATACCACTGTGAGAGTAAGGGACCGGGGCATAGGCAGTCTTGCCTAGCAGTCACAGCTGGGCTGAGGTCTGCCCACCGGGGACAGGAGTTGTTAGGCTGGAGTTGGAGGAATCGCAAGGTCAAGTCCCATAAACAAGAGTCAGGGTTGGTGGCTGGGGTCCGAGACTGGAGATCAGAGGTAATACCAGGTTAGAATCGAGAGGCAGGAATCAGGGTCGAAGTCAGGCTGGAGTCAGAGACCAGAGGATGAGGCGAAGTCTGGCATTTCAGCAGGCCAAGGTCTGTATGGCTGCCCAGACAACTTTCTGGGGCAACCCATGTGGTTAAGTAGGCGGAGTTGGCCAATCAGAGGGCCACAGTGTACTGTCACTCTGGGTCTCATGGGCAGTACTTCCTGCAGCACCTACTCTTCACAGCTCCCTGGCTGTACCTCTGCATGACCTCCTAGTGGCACTGTGGGATTATCAGCCACCCCTGGGTCCTTACACTAAGGCTGGGAGGATCAATACACTAATGATTGTGCAGTGCTCAGATAGTACAGTATTGGGGGCCATATAGGTCCCATAGAGGATCTAGTGTAATCTAGTTGGAACTATTATCGGCATGATCCTTTCAGTTCTCATAGGGTTGATCTTGACTAGGATAAAAGGTGTGTGTAGAAATCGCTGTGTCACTCTAGCATGGCCTTTAACACTGGTTATCTAGTCAAGTTGATGTTAAGAGGATATTTGGACTTCACCTTGATCAACTAGCGCATCAGTCTAGCACGGACAGGGCAGTGTGGTGTTAGAATGGGGTAACTGAAACCTTCTAAATACACCTTTTAAATCTTGGTCAAGATGATCCCGGTCCCGATAAGATATTTAATATGCTCTCTACAGTTGCTCTGGATTTACACTGGTATAAATTAGATTAAACCCTCCATCTAAACAGGATCTAGTTTCTGCTCTTCCAGCGTTTTGCCATGGGCTTCCTAGACAGTGATACTGAACTCCTGCTAACTCTCCTGCAAACTCTCCCATGTTCCCATCCTCACAGGTAGAGCTACGTGCACCCTTTGCAGCAAACGCTCTCTGTGTATCTTGGACTCCCCTAGCTTTGGTTCCACTTGCTCCAAGCCTCTTGATGGGGTGACGACTTCTGGATGATTTTTCAGTCAGAGGGTTTTTTGTTTCGGCAGTAAGATCAACTTTGAATTAAAACCTAGAGACAAACTTCAGCTCTTGCCAGCCTTCTTCCTTGGACTTCTGGATGTGATCTGCCTCCCTGAGCTGTGATAGAGCTCGTAACAGAAGGAAAACACTTCAAAGAACAAAAGATCTAAAGCATACTTCTAGGTTAGCAAGCTGCCAAGGTGAAACCTACAACTGAAGTGAATACAAAGTCCGGTGTTCTGATGTGGGGAATGTTCAGGGATGGGGAGCGGGGGCAGGGAACAAAACATTGATCGTAGCTCAGGGCAGATAACTCACTTGCCATTTAAAATGTCAGCATTTGCCACTTATTTCCACAGAGGTCTACCCTAATGGTAGAGCGCAGTGTCTCCGAGCACCAGTGGTAACTATTGCCAGACACGGAGTATTCTTTTTAAATGGCAACCTATGTCTGCATGTCACCTGCTGCGATCACCTGCTTCCTAACACTGCTCTTCAGCATCCTCTGCCAGGCAAGGACAAGTCAGTGAGGGCTGGGAAGACTCTGCAGCAGCCAGCGAGGGGTAAGAACCCCTTTAGAGTTGGACGCGTTCCTCTGCAGAGAACAAACCTTCGGAACGCTGGCACGCCAAGCTTATTGACCCGGTGTTTGTTAGAGATGTGGTGGCTGCGCTCCATTACTGCTTTCAGTTCCCCAAATCATTGTCACCTTAACCTTCTTGCCAGAGCTCTGCAAGCTGCTTCTTTCTTGTCAATTACACTAGCGGTGCTCAGGGAGCCTCGTCCTGGAGCATGGCCCCACGGTGCTGAGTGCTGTGCGGATACATAACTGTGATGGTCTCTGCTGTCAATAATAAAGGAGAAAAGAGGTAGGTGGGGCTAGGTTGTGAAAGTGAAGACAAGTCACTTGTGTTTGATGCATGGAGAAGGCGAGCCAGAGCAGGGCTGCAGAGAAAGGGGTGATGCAGTCAAAGGGGATGGGGGGGTAAGCCAGAAAAGCGATCTTCACTGCAGCATTCTGAATGGATGGGCAGGGGGCAGGATGGGATTCATCCAGGCCGGAGAAGAGGAGGGTGCAGTGGCTGAAAAGCAGGATGATGTGGACCTGCATGGGAGCTCCAGTGGGGTGGATGACAAGGAAAGGCCAAATCTTAAAGATGTGATGCAGGAAGAATTGGCAAGTTTTAGACGCGTCCTGAATGTAAGGATGTACAGAGAGGGCCAAGTTGAAGGTAGGGTGCCGAGGTTATGGGTCTGAGTTAGGGTTGCCACCTTCCTAATCACATAAAACCAAACCCCCCTGCCCCACCCCACCCTTTCTCCTAGGCCCCACCCATGCCCTGCCCCTTCTCCACCAGCCTCTGGGAATGCAAGCACTGCCTCCCAGGTGCGCTCCCACCCCCGGCTTCTTCGCTCTCTTGGTACAGGTCAACAATAGGCCCACACCAACCCAGCCTGTTCCACTGAACACTCACAGATCTCTTAGAGCCTCTCCTCCCAAAGGAACAGCACACGCCCACTGATTCACGCTGCTTACCACACAGCACTCACATGTATTTATAGTGAAAACAAGAATATGTTTATTAACAAAGAACAGAGTCAAGTGATAGAAAGTTAGACTTTTGGAAACAAACCATAACCCCCTTTTTAGAGCCTAATCTTTACTCGCAAGGCATTCCCCTGTCCCCTGCAGGATAGCTTACCCCAAGACCTTTTCCCAGTGTTTTCAACCATTTTGGGTGAGCTCCGTTCTCATAAAGATCAAGCCTGCTGGAAGCTTGGCCTCCCGGATGGAAGGAATACCTGGGGGCTCACCTGCACAGCAGTTATAGTTTCAAAAGTTCATTCTTTCTCCTAACCAGGATCACACTTGTTTGCTTTTTCCTGCAGCCCCCACAATCTATTGATTAACATTTTGCTCAGGATGTAAATGTGGGGCCCTTGTGAACCATTCAACACTGTACTCAATTTGCATGTGACCAGCCAGAGTGCGATAAGCCCCTCTTCCTCGCTGCCTGAGAGGAGTGTGTGGATCACCTTCTGGTGACCTGCCTTCATTCACAGACCTGTAGGGAATAAATTTTAGCATTTAGTCATTACTAAGGCCCTACTTAATTTGCAATACTGCGGAAATTGCAGATCCCGCAATATTAGGCTTCCATCGCAATTTTGATTTTAATTAGTTTACTTTGCACAGTCCACCATTTTGCCCACATTTTGAGGTTTGCAACACACACTTTACGCCCCCATTAGTACAGGAGAATGCCATTTACCTGAGCAGCTGGGGCTCTGGCTGTCAGCCCAGCACATTAATGACTGTAACATAGTGGCAGCAAAATGTCTGATATAAAAAAATTTTTAGCAGGCATAGCATAATACTTGAGTGTTTATAGTATTCCAGCACATTTTTCTTAAACAAATAGGGCTTCTCTGGCTTGTCCAAATTACCGCAATTAATACAGGTCCATTATTACTTTTCTACGATTTTCCATGTCTTGTCCACAACTCAGCTGCAATTATTTGAAAATCTTCTCATGATACAAGTAGAGCCTTAGGTATTACTCTTCACAGATGTTCCACACATACATCACACAATGATTCTGCTGACCAGTGCATAGGCACTAACTCTGTGGGTGCTCTGTGGCTGGAGCACCACAGAAAAAAAATAGGGGGGTGCTCTGCACCCACCAGCCACAGCTGTTTGGTGGCACCTCAAATCAGCAGTTTGGCAGCGCACCCCATTAGCTGATTGGAGGTGCCACCAAATAGCTGTTTGGCAGCGGAGGAAGGGGTCTGGGGGAGGGCAGAGAGCAGCAAGCGGATGGGGTCTCGGAGAGGGGGCAGGGCGGGGGTGGGAAGAGGTGGAGTGAGGGTGGGGCCTTGGGGGAGAGGGTGAAGTAGGAGCGGGGCCCTGGGGAAAAGAAAAACTCAGCACCTATGGACCAGTGAGACACATGCTTTCATCAGAGACTTACATTCTTTGGCAGACTAGTATGTAAATATCAGACCCAGAGGATCCCTGTAACCTTTATGTACCCCTCTGCCAGTTGGCATCAAGGGGTCCTTGGGCCACAATGAGTGGGTAGGCAGATCTGTGGGTCATCAGCCTCAGAGGGTAAATGAAGTTCTGCTTGCAAACAAGCTCACCCGGCGACAAGGGTGTAGAACAGTGGCTCTCAACCTTTGCAGACTACTGTATCCCTTTCAAGAGTCTGATTTGTCTTGTGTACCCCCAAGTTTCACCTCACTTAAAAATGTACAAAATCAGACATAAAACTACAAAAGTGTCCCAGCCCACTATTACTAAACAATTGCTTCCTTTCTCATTACCACCATCAAATAAATCAATTGGAATATAAATATTTTACTTACATTTCAGTGTATCGTATATAGAGCAGTATAAACAAGTCATTGTCTACGAAATTTTAGTTTGTACAGACGTCACTAGTGCTTTTTATGTAGCCTGTTAAACTAGGCAAATATCTAGGAGTTGATGTTCCCCTTGGAAGACCTCTGAAACCCCC